AGCGCAGGGGCTGTTATGGTTCACCAGCCGGACCTGGTCGCCCTCCGAGTTAACTAAAAGCGTGAAAATATGGGGAGAAGCCAGCACGCTGTGACCCCTGCATAAGGAAAACTACCCTGGCACCTTCTCAGGTGGCTGAATGTTGCACCAAGTACTGCAGGCTCGTCTAATCAACCCAAAAAGGAGCTGGCTGATCCCCGCTGCCTGCTGGCAAAGGGGCAAGAGCCTGCAAGCTGCACCACGGCAGCATCCCACCCACTGACATCAGCACTGACCCCTCCACCAGGACACCCCAGATTTCTCTGGCCCCTCAAACACCTCATGATGGAAACACCCACGAAGGTGGACATGTTGTCCAGAGCTCTTGTGGAGGTGGAAAATCATGGCGATGGACCAAGGCCCCTCCCCCCAGTTCTGGTGCCAAGTTATTCCCGAGGGATTTACCTGTGCACACCACGCCAGCTGCTCTCCTGTGGGTACAAGTGCTGTTGCCCTGGGGCATCAACTTGCATGCTGAGAGTGCAGTCTCCGTGCCCACGCAGCTCACACTGTTGGGCCATGTTTGCCCAGGTCCTTGCCCAAAATGCGACCCGACAGATGCTGACAGCGCTGTCCCACAGCCCAGCTGCCTGCACACCACTCGCGCCTCGGACAGACCCCAGTCCTCATTGCACAGGGCCGCCCAGGTGCCGTTGTGGGTGATCTCCACCCTGCCACTGCAGCCCATCGAGCCGTTGGCCAGGCGAATCTCGATGGCCTCGGACACCCCTGAAGCTGCGAATGACACATAAGGGGAAGTGCCACCGGGAGGGACATGGCTGCTTCTGCTCCAGCCTGAGCATCCTCTGCAGGTGGTGAGTACCCAGACTAGAGACTGAGTGCTCGCAATGCTCAGCATCCTCTTAAAAGTGAATTTTAATGGGTGGCTTTGCAAAGGGGCTTTATTGCAAAGTAACGTTACTGCAAAAACACTTTATTGCAAAGTCACCTTATCACAGAACCACAGAATGGTTTGAGTCAGAAGGGACCTGTAGAGGCCATTGAGTCCAACTTTCATCCAATGAGCAGGGACACCTCCAACCAGATCAGATTGCTCAGAGCCCCATCCAATCTGACCTTGAGTGTTTCCAGGGATGAGACATCTACCACCTCTCTGGGCAACCTGTGCCAGTGTCTCACCACCCTCATTGTAAAATATTTCTTGCATATATCTGCTCTAAACCTGCCCTCTTTTAGTTTAAAACCATTACCTCTTGTCCTACCTGAACAGGCCTTACACAAAAAAATCTGTCTCCATCCTTCTTAGAAGCTTCCTTTAAGCACTGAAAGGCTGCAAGATCTCCCTGCAGCTTTCTCTTCTCTAGGCTGAACAACCCCAACTCTCTCAGCCTGTCCTCATAGGAGAGGTGCTTCAGGCCCTGATCATCTTTGTGGCCTCCTCTGGTCCCATTCCAACAGCTCCATGTCGTTCTTATGGTGAGGACCCCAGAGCTGGACACAGCACTGCAAGTGGGCTCTCACCAGAGCAGAACAGAGGGGCAGAATCCCCTCCCTCGCCCTGCTGGCCACCCTGCTTTGGATGCAGCCCAGGACACAGTTGGCTTTCTGGGCTGTGAGCACACATCGCCAGCTCATTTCCAGCTTTTCCTGGTGGTCCACCAGGACCCACAATTCCTTCTCTGCAGGGCTGCTCTCAATCCCTTCAACCCCCAGTCTGTGTTCATAGACTCATAGAGTCATAGAATGGTTTTGGTTGGAAGAGATCTTTAAGTTCATTGAGTCCAACCATCGAGCCAGCCATAAGTCTGCCACTAGACCATGTCCCTAAGCATGACATCTCCTCATCACACCTCCAGGGATGGGGACTCCACTACTTCCCTGGGCAGCCCCTTCCAGTGCTTGACCACTCTTTCAGTAAAGAAATGCCTCCCAATATCCAACCTAAACCTCCTCTGGTGCAACTTGAGGCCATTACCCCTTGTCCTATCACAAGCTGTTAGGGAGAAGAGACTGACCCCACATTGCTACAACCTCCTTTCAGGAAGCTGTAGAGGACGATGAGGTCTCCCCTCAGTCTCCTCTTTTCCAGACTAAACAACTGCAGCTCCCTCAGCCACTCCTCCTGTGTTGATACTGGGAGTTGCCTTGACCCAGGTGCAGGACGTTATTGCAATGTCACCTTATTGCAAAGGCACTTTCCTGCTCCCTGCTGTGCAATGCAAATAAAAGAGCTACACACACATCAAAAACGCCATCAAAACTCCATCAGACTCCATCAGACTCCATCAAAAGCCCTGAAAGCATGGGTGATGGATGAGATGGACCTGGTGGGATGGGCAGAAACTGGGGACGATGAGTTGCGCCTACAGAAAACTTTGTGTGCTACAGCCTGGTTGCCACCAAGGCAAATGAGACTTTGGGGTAGGTCCTCATTAATTTGTTCATACAACCACAAATGAATGGCCCTTTGCTGGTGCTGGAGCTTCGCACTGGATTCATGGCAGCAGGAGGTGGGCAAGGCTTTGCAGGGCAACTTGCCTGCAGGTGGGCAGGTGCTGAAAAAAGCAAGGTCGTCCCCAGTGCTGCAAAAGGGATGCCGCGGGCAAACTCCCTTGGGTGAGATGCAGGAGCCATCCCATGATCCCTTAGGAAACCCAGAAAGGCTGATGTTGGACCCCTCTTGAGGTTAGTTACCTGAACATATCACCCCAGCATCCTCCCCATGGAAGCAGTTGTTGTGCCCCCACATGCTGGCCTGGCAGTCGAAGAGTGTGTCCTCGGTCCCGGTGCAGTTCACCTCGTCCAGCCAGATGGGATCGTGGCCTCTCCCAAAATGAGCCCCTTTGGGGGCCAACAGTGCCGTGCCGCAGCCCAGCTGCCGGCAGACCACTGCTGCATCCGCCAGGTCCCAGCCATCATCGCAGACCGTCCCCCACATGTGGTTGTGGAGCACCTCCACCCTCCCAGCACAGCGGTTGGGGCCGTCAAGCAGCTGAAGGGTTCCCAGGGGGGTGACACGGGAGTCTGTGGGTGCCCCAAAGGGAAAAAAAAATCAGTATGTCACTGCCAGTACAGTGGGAAGGGGTGGAGGGGTGGAGGTGGTGTGCAGCCAGATCACGGCCACCCCAGACTACCTGAGCACTCAACGCCAACGTCTTCCACATGGTTACAGTTGTGTTCCCCCCACGGCCTGGCTCCGCATTCGGAGAGGTTCCTCTCCTCCCCAGTGCAGTTGACGTCATCCAACCAGATCTGCCCATTCCCTTGTCCATACTCAGTTCCCCGTGCCACCAACAGCACTGTCCCACAGCCCAGCTGCCGGCACACGACTGAGGCCTCAGGGGAACCCCAGCTGTCGTCGCACACTGTCCCCCATGTCCTGTTGTGGAGCACCTCCACCCGTCCGGCGCAGCGGTTGGGGCCTCCCACCAGACGAAGGGACCCTTCTGGATTCTCGGCAGCTGCACCTGCAAAGCCGGGAAAGGAAAGAGGAGGGGAGGTCAAATCCTGGGAGTGGATGAGGCTTGGCTGCTCATCCATTTAAGATAGCTCCCGCCCCCAAAAAAGGGTTTCAGACGTGGCATTGACCATTCCACATCTGCCCTGGACATCTCATATGGCCCTGGGACATCTATAGTCGACTGAGCCCCATCTCTGCTTATAAAGCCTGAATTTAACCATCTTAACCTCAGCATGGATCCCACACCCCAGGAGCTCTTTTCTTGCTCATGTAACAGGCAGAAAAATAAAAGCATATTTGAGCTTGTGCAAGTTTTTGTACAAGTGGCCAGCAGCAAAGATGTAGCTTCACCATCAAGAGTGGGTAAAAGCCTGTGTGGACAAGTGGAGAAGTGCTTGAACTAAGGGTCTTGGCAGTTCACAAGACACATGATGCAAGATTGCTTCTGGTCCCATGAGCATGCTTTTGCCGGAGCGCTAACAAAAGGGAAAGAAAGGAGCAGAAATGAGCTGTAATGGGATGTTGGTCACATGGAGAGACCAACTGGGTCAGCAGACCAAAAAAAAAAGTTCATGGGGGTTATGATTGCATTGTGTAAATAAGCTTTTTGACCATGGATAATGATTTCTGAAGCTCTCAGGCACTGATCTGTGTGCGGGTCTGACTATCAGCAAACAAGGGGCCAGACATAGCACTTGGGAAGTCGCAGGGGCCAGAAAGGGGATGAAACAGGTTAAAAAAATCAAATTCCTGAGTCATTCAAATATGAACAGCATCTGGGCAACCGTGGCACTCTGGGTGCAGGTGTGGGGAGCTCAGCTTTTCCTTTCAAGCTGAGCAGCAGGGAGCAATAAAGCATCTTTGGCAACAAGATGTCTTTGCAACAAAGCATCTTTGCAATAAGGCATCTTTGCAATAACACATCTTTGCCACCTCTAAAAATCGATTTATAAGGAGGCTGGACCAGAGGCATTGCAGGACTCCGTCTCCAGTGTGCAAGCTCTCCTGTCCCCAGGTTAAGTGCACAGTCCACTTGCATGTGCATTGACCGTGTTCAAGTCCCAGCCATATGTCTCCGAGCCAGGAGATACTGACTGATGAAGAGGCAAACTGAAATTTCTGGGAACAGGAATAGAAAAAAAAAAAAGTGGGAAGATTGTACTGTTCCTGAATGCATCACACAAGGAGAAATCCCAAGTGAGTTAAAGCAGAGTTTTAGTTCCAGGAGGCGGTGGTACAAACTGCCCTTAGCAACTGATCAACCTGGAAATTAAAATGAAATCCCTACCAGCAGAGAAAGCATGTTCCTAATTTTTCTGATCAGAAGATGAGTGTTTCTGCTCGTGCCCTTTGCAAATGTGAAACAGCACTCAGAAGGTTGCCCAAGGCAAGTAACCAGCTCCTGCACTGGACTGGGGCAGCTCAGGCAAAGCCCTGAGCCCTTTCTTCACCCTCTCCAAAGCAAAGTTGCTGCTGAACCATCGACACGATATTGCTCTTCCCCACCCTTGCACCAATGTCTGGGAGCAAACCATGGCTGTGGATGGGGAACCTGTAGGGTCCATGGCTTCCTTAGAGCTCTGCTTGAGCACATGGGTCATGTCTCTTGCCAGTGTCTTGTCTGTCTGCCCTGTTAACCCAGCAAATATTTGGTTTCTTGTGCTGTACAGCCATGAGCCACCCAGCCTTGTCCCTACTTGCTCACCTCTCCATCATGCGGAGACCCGCCCCCTCTTAATGCACACCACTGTTGGGTTTGGCCAAGCCCCCTCCATGCTGCAATACCATGGATTGGCCATGCATGGTCTGGGATAAGCCAAGATTAAAGCAGGGCAGGAGGCCGTGGCCAGCTGCGAGACAGTGTCAGGATAGGGCATGCTTCCCTCCACTCTTGTAATGCTCGCAAGCATTTAATTACAGAGTACAAGCCTTTAATTAAGGGCCAAAACCATGTTTGCAGAAGTAGATCTGCAATGCATGGCTCTTTGAGCTCAGCAGAGATAGCTGAGCTTCCAACTTTGCATTAAATAAACATCCTCCCATCTCCAAAGCCATTGCAAGCCCTTGTCCCAAACCCCTGAGAGAAATCCAGGAGCCCTGACCAGCCTCTGCCTTGCTGCACGTGGCCGATGAGCTCCCTGCAGTCAGCAGTGAAGGATAATGCTACTCACCCCAAAGGCACAGCGTCAGGAGGAGCGTCCCCATGCTCTTGGCCTTGCCACAGATGGGTTGGTTTCTGGTCCTGGATGAGGGATGGAGATTCCCCGGCATCCCCATGTTGGCAGCCGGGCCACAGGCTGGAGGCTAGAGTGGACTGTCTGTGCAAGAGATGCCAACTGAGCCCAGTGTCCCACTGGCCAACTGGGAGGGCCAGCGGGGATTTCTGTAGTAAGACCTCCTCTTCCTCTGCCCTGCTCCCCTCTGGGAGTTTCACTTCCTCTGAAGCTCTGCCAGGAGGTCACCCGTTGCCCCACGCAGTGGCCAGTCTTGTCACTGGCTTGCGAAACAGCGAGTTGTTCCAGGAAAACAGAGCAAACAAAACCCTCTCAACATGCGAGTCCCCTCTCATACGTGCCAGCCCCTGTGGGCACTTTGGCTGCCCTGATGCATCCTGGTACAAGATATCTATTTTTGAGAAGCTAAATAGAGCCTTTATGCACAGAACACTCTACAACTGCCTGAAGGGAGGTTGTAGTCAGGTGGGGGTCAGGCTCTTCTCCCAGGCAACTAGTGACAAGATGAGAGGGCACGCCCTGGAGCTGCGCCAGGGGAGGTTTAGGCTGGATATTAGAAATCACTTTTTCATGGAGAGGGTGATCAGGCATTGAAATGGACTGCCCAGAGAGGTGGTGGAGTCACCATCCCTGAAGGTGTTTAAGGAAAGGCTGGATGTGGCACTTAGTGCCATGGTCTAGCCAATGTGGTAGTGTTAGGTCATAGGCTGGACTTCATGATCTCAGAGGTCTTTTCTAGCCTCAATAATTCTGTGATTCTGTGAAATGGGGAAATATGGCTACATTAGGTTCATTAGGAAGCGTCCGCTTGGGTTTCTGGATGGTGAGGGACCATCCACTACAAGAAAATAGGTTACTAAAGGCTGAAAGTGGCTTTACTGTGCAGACTTGAGCCAACGTCCTGCACTGTAGCTGTTTGCCACCATCCACGATAAGAAAGGGTCTCGCACCCATCTTGCGATGCTTTGGATGGCTCAGTTGGGTTTGGAAAACAAGGGTGACTGCCATTCTCTTATCCTACTGTGGCTGCACTTGCAAGACCCTGAAGGTTCCTTTTGGAGTAGCGGTTTGTTTCCCAATTGTTGCTATGCAGATAATGCTCCAGGCATGTCCCTTGCAAATCACTGTCCCAGGCAAGTCCCAGGATGCCGAGAGGATGCAAGAGTTTACTGTCCTCCCATCCCTTCGTGGTGGCACACTGAAGTTGTGTAAAGGAAAGGGCCTGAAATTTCCAGGAGCAGGATTTAAAAAAAAAAAAAAAGTGGGAAGATTGTTCATTAATAGATCACACAAGCAGAGAAACCAAGTGATTTCAAGCAAAATTTTAGTTCCAGGAGGCAGAACGAGTTTTGCAAAAGAGTTGTCAAATTAGCATCACTCATTGCTCCGAATAGGAAGGTTTAGAAGGAGATGGGTGCTGTGCTGGTGGTGTATTGAAGGTGGGGCTTGCACTGGGCAAGGATGTGACCCCTGTCAGAAACAGGGTGGATAGCTCTGCCCACGCCTGTGCAAAAATAAGTAGCAAAACTGGAGCATGCAATGGGAAGAGGACAGCATGGCCAGGAAGGTCTCAGGCTGAGCTTAACCTGTTCAGCCTGCCAAAACCTGAGAGGGGAAGATCGAACAGGAGAAACCCAAACCTTAGAGGCATGCAGAGCTAGGGCTGAAGACCAAAAGGTAAAAAAGAGGTGTACTAAACAAAGGTACAAAAATGAGTTGGTGAAAACTGGGCTGGAAATGAGTCAAAACTCATCTTATGAAAAGTAGAGCAGTGGGGAAAGGTGACTGTTCATTTGTACTGAGGCTCAGTGTGCCTGAGGACTTTGTTCCCCTTCATTGCAAACAAACAGGCCAGCAGCAAAGAGATCCCTGACACCGACTGTCATGGAAATGCTGTCAATTGCTGTAAACCTGACGTGGCCGATGAAGCTCTGAACAAGGGTGTTTCTGCTGGGGTGGTTTTCACAGCTTGGAGAAAAGCCACTCTGGAAATGAATCATGGCCCTAGATCCCTTCTGCTTTTGAATTTGGGTGTGATGTTCGTCTGGGAAGTCTGGGAAGACCCTTCATGAGATAATACAGTCTCTGCAGAGATATTCTGCATTGTCATGGCCATGGCCTGAGCTCAGATCTAGCAGGTGCTGGTCTTGCGTGTTGGAGTCATGAAGAGCCTCAACTTATCCCAGCTTCATTACAAAGACCTTCTCTAAACAGGGCTTGTATTTTGGTTGCATAAAACTGGGTCCAAGCTCCTATTTTCCCCTATTCTGAGGACACTCTTCCCAGAGCTAGAAGGAACCCTGGGCCTTTGATGTAAACTTTGGGACAAGCGAGAATGGAGGATCAAGTCAGCCGGAAGATGAGAAATCCTGAAGTCCCAGGAGTGACAGATGTCCATGGAGGAGCAGAAGATGACCTTGCGGTCACGCTTTGACAAGAGACACCTGGCCAGGGTGGATATATAGCTGGGGTTTAGGACAAGTAGCAAGACACAAACTGGTCACACAAATGGCTGGAAGGGAAGGAGAGGTGGGAGGCCAGACCTGAAGAACACGCAAATACACGTTGTGACTCTTTCACTGCACGTGTCTTCTCCCTGCTGCCTCTTGCACCAATTCCTCCCTTCCATGCCCTGAGATGAGCTTCATTTGCAAGGCACACCTTCATGACAGCCTGGTCAAGCTTGTGGTGCCTTCATTCTCTCCCCGTGGCACTGGAACATTCTTCTGACCTTGGCCCCTTTTGGCTTCATCAGTGTGATGGAGGGTTTGGGGCTCAGACCTGACACTGTGAGTTGCTCCCTGAGGAACATGAGCCTTTCTTGTTGGTGGCCAGTTCCTCACCCAACGTTAGCAATCTTGAGTCTTCTGTATCTGACCAATCACTTCCAATTTCTCTATAACATCAATTTTTCCACCACTTCCACCTCTCTAAGTCACTCCATATACCTGAATCTGTATAATACTGCAGTCTCATTTTTGAGGGGTTTCAGGATTTTTACTGGCATTCAAAAGTAGATTGAATAAATACAATAGGGACTTTTTACTGTGTTCTGGATGGGAATAGGGATTGTAGCATTTATAGGGCTGGGAATAGGGATTACAGCAGTTGTAGGGTTTGGAATAGGGATTACAGCAGTTATAGGGCTAGGAATCGGTATTACAGCAGTTGTAGGGCTGGAAATAAGAGGAGTCTGCACAGGTGAGGTTAGGAGGACCAGACAGAGATTATCCTGAGAAGACCTTACTTGGAGATTGAGGGACTTCGCAGTGCTGCACGGAGGAACAGAGGCTCAGCACAACGAGCTTGGCGCTATGGGGCACATGGGGCAGGAGTCTCCACTCTGCTGGGGGGAGGAGGAGTCTTTTCTGCTGACCATTGCAGCAGCTGCTCCACTCTTCTGGCTCCACAGAACAGGGTTTTCTGGGGTTCTTAGGGAGCTTTGCCGTCAACACCAGGAGCGTGGCTGCCTAAGCCTCAGATGACGTCCCGATGTCCTCTGTTTTATTTATAAGTGGTTTATCTGCAAGACAAAGGCCAGGGTGCTGCATGGAGGGATTGCACCCTCCAGGAGTGCAACCAGCTCCACAAGCGGGCCAAGGTCACTCCATGCTGAGGTCCTACTCTTACCTGAGGAGCGTCCAGCCTGTCTCCGACACCTTGTCCACAGGTACAGGAACAAGAGGGTCCCGCAGAGCATGGCCGCCACACTGAGCAGGCCTGCCAGCACCGAGCAGGACTGGTTAAGGTCTGCAGGAAAAGTGAAGCTCAGAGGGGGGTTGGTTGGAGGTCCTGACCCTGTCTGCCCCTCTTGCCCTTCCCTTCTGCTGCACATTTCTGGGGATGCTCAGATCTCCATGCCCACCAAGATGCCTTCACCCTGTTGGACCCACTCCCACTGCTGTACGGTCACTGCTTTCAGGTGCCTCTAACTTGCCCACCTAATGTCTTCCAGGAAAAAAAGGGTTTATGGGAATACTTAGAATGGTTTTGGTTGCAGAAGACCTTTAAGATCATTGAGTCCAACCATTGAACCAGCCCTAAGTGGAGTCACCATGCCTGGAGGTGTTCAAGAATCACATGGATGTGGCACTTAAGGACATGGTTTAGTGGGCATGGTTGAGTTCGGTTGATAGTTGGACTTGATGATCTTGGAGGTCTCTTACAGCCTTAATGATTCTGTGTGATTCTGTAAGTCCACCACTAGACATGTCCCTAAGCACAACAAAGCTTTTCCCTGTCTGGGAGGGAGCAAAGCCCAAGATGGAGCTTGGAGCCTTTACCCCACCATGTGTCTACACTGAATTAGCCCGAGTGCAGCCGGAGCAAATGATGAGGGGATGCTGGGATCAGCACTCACCTTTCTGCTCTGCGCACACCACACCGGCTGCCCAGCCCTGCCTGCACGGCCCTGGCCCTGTCTCTCTCCGCTGGCACTCCAGGAGCAGCGACTCAGTGCCCCGGCAGCTCAGCCGCTCCAGCAAGGCCTGGCCATTCCTGGGGCTGGGCTGGGCTGCGATGGGCGCCGACTGGGCCGGCCCGCAGTCCAGTTGCCTGCAGACCACCTCAGCTTCCAGCAAGCTCCATCCAGTGCTGCACACCCCATGCCAGGTCGCGTTGTAGAGCACCTCCACCTGCCCTGAGCAGGGACCGGGGCCATCTTTCACCTGCACCTGCAAGGGGTTTGGGCCTGCAAGGAAAATTGAAAGGGGGTAAGACAAGCCCTCCAAGCCCATAAACTGATGAGAGCTTCTGACTTTCTCCTGGGCATTTTTTTCTGGGGTCCTGCTGAAGACAAGCCACCAGCACCCACAACCAGCCATGAGGCATGGATTCACAGAATTGCAGCATGGTTGGGGTTGGAAGGGACCTCTGAAGATCATCCAGTCCAACCCCCTGCTAGAGCATGGTCACCCAAAGAAGATCACACAGGAACACATCCAGGCCGGCTTGAATGTCTCCAGAGTAGGAGACCCCACAACCTCTCTGGGCAGCCTGGGCCATGCTCTGGTACCCTCACAGTAAAGAAGTTTTTCCTCATGTTTAGGTTGAACCTCCTGTGTCTCAGTTTGTGACCATTGGCCCTTGTCCTGTCACTGGGCACAACCAAGCAGAGCCTGGTCCTATCCTCCTGGCCCTCACCCTTGAGATATTTCTAAGCATTAATGAGATCCCCCCTCAGTCTTCTCTTCTTCAGGCTAAACAGCCCCAGCTGTCTCAGCCTTTGTGGGACATGCTCCAGTCCCCTCATCATCTCTATGTCTCTACACTGAATGGTCTCCAGTAGTTCCTTGTCTTACTCCATCACCTTGTATGAGTTGCCTTAATAAGCAACGTCACCACAGGGCTGGTATCTGTGAGATGGGGCTCACAGGAGACCCATACCCACCTTCCCAGTAGCACTGGACTCCTGTGTCTAGAAGAGGTGAGACTCAATGGCCACCAACCATCCTGACTCACCCGCCCCAGGCCCTTCATCCCCATGTTACCTGAGCACACCACGCCAGCATCCTCACTGTGGCCACAGTTGTGCTCTCCCCAGTTGCCCAGCTCACACTCGATGAGGGCGGACTCAGTCCCTGTGCAGTGAATGCCGTCCTGCCAGATGGGATCCACGCCTGGTCCAAAATGAGCCGAGCCCGGCGCTGACAGCGCCATCCCGCAGCCCAGTTGCCTGCACACGACGGCAGCATCTTGGAGGTCCCAGGTGTCATCGCACACAGTCCCCCACTTGTGGTCGTGAAAGACCTCGACTCTCCCCAGGCAGCTGTTGGAGCCGTTTGCCAGCCGCAGCGGGCGCTGCTCTGAAGTGTCTGTGTCTGTGAAAGAAGCAAGGGATACGTTCATGCCTGAGCCTCATCCCTGGCGCCAGTTGGGCTTTGCAACAGAAAGCAAAAAAAATATCCAAACAACCTTCCACATGTGCAGCCTCCAGCTGCCTGGGAAATTTGCTACACCAACAGGGTTGGCTTGGGATTTGCTTCTCATTGGGGTGGATAATCATAGAATCACAGAATCATAGATAAAGAGGGATCACAGGATAGGGAGGGTTCACAGCTCCAGAGCTTGGGAATTGGAGCCTGACAAAGGGTCTTGGGGTCAACAGTGACTATGGGAGGGTCCTGAGGACAACAGCAACCATGGAAGCATCCTGGAATCAACAGTGACCATGGGAGGGTCCTGAAGTCAAGCGGTGACTGTAGAGTCCCTGACTACCTGGGCCATGGTTGAGCTGATCCTGTCCCCCAACCTGAGCGGTTCTTGTCCCAAATGACGTGGATCACCTGAGCACACCACACCAGCGTCCTTCCTGTGCGTACAGCTGCTGGCTCCCCACGGCCTGGCCTGGCATTCAGAAAGAGCAGCTTCTGTCCCCGTGCAGTTGACGTTCTCCAGCCAGATGTGGCCGGACCCTTGTCCAAAGTGAGCTGAGCCCGGGGCTGAAGTGGCTGTCCCACAGCCCAGCTGCCGGCAGACCACCGCCGCCTCGGCCAGGCTCCAGCCATGGTCGCACACCGTCCCCCACTGATGGTGGTGGAGCACCTCCACACGACCCGCGCAGCGGCTGGGGCCATTCTCCAGGCGCAGCTGAGCTGGTGTCTCGATGTCTGTGCCTGTTTGTGACACAAGACAGGAGGAGAGCGTCATCTCCCAAGGTGCCACCATGGTAAGACCCATGCTGGAGGATGCTCCTGTGTGCTTTGCTCAGGGAGGTTCCTCTGTCCACACAAAGCTGTTGTGGAATATCTAAAGTTTGGGGCTAAACATCTCAGGTGTGGGCAAAACCAGCCATGCATCCACAGAGCCCATGTACATTCAACATAAGCACAATCAAACCATGAAGAGCTATGATGCATTTTTTTAGTTCTCCCAGGTGGCCACCCATGAACCCTTCACGTGGCCACAGCAGGCTGTGGGAGAGGCTTTCTGCTGACCCTCTTCCGTTGCCACTGTCCCTTCTTCAAAAAAGTAATAGGGTTTTCATCATAGGATTTCCTATGGCCAGGATCATTCCCCTCCAACTTATCACAGAATAGTTTTGGTTGGAAGAGATCTTTAAGATCATTGAGCCCAACCATTGAGCCAGCCCTAAGACCATGTCCCTAAGCACAACATCTCCTTGTCTTTTAAACACCTCCAGGGGTGGGGACTCCACCACCTCCCTGGGCAGCCCCTTCCAGTGCTTGACAAACTTTCCAGTAAAGAAATTCCTCCCAATATCCAACCTAAACCTCCCCTGGTGCAACTTGAGGCCATTACCCCTTGTCCTATCACTCACTACCAGCGAGAAGAGATTGACCTCCACCTTGCTACAACCTCCTTTCAGGAAGCTGTAGAGGGTGATAAGGTCTCCACTCAGTCTTCTCTTCTCCAGGCTAAACAATCCCAGCTTCCTCAGCCACTCCCCATAATTCCTGTTCTTCAGACCCTTCACCAGCTTCATTACCCTTCTCTGGAAATGCTCCAGTGCCTCAATGTCCTTTTTGTAGTGATGGGCCCAAAACTGCACACAGGATTCGAGGTGCGGCCTCACCAGTGCCCAGTACAGAGGAAGGGTCCCTGCCCTGCTCCTGCTGGCCACACTATTCCTGATGCAGGCCAGGATGCTGTTGGCCTTCTTGGCCACCTGGGCACACTGCCAGCTCATGGTCAGCTGATTGTCAATCAACATCCCCAAGTCCTTCTCCTCCGGGCTGCTCGTGTATCCCTGCTGCTTCTTACTTCTTACATGGACCTGTGTCCTAAAGAGTGCCAGAATGGCACGTTGGAGGAGATGGGGCTCAAGGTCACCCACTCAGGTCTCTGCTGCCCAGCCCTTGGCTGCAGCTGCAAAACTGGTACATATTCCCAGAGCAGAGCATCCTCCTTTCAGTTTCTCAGTGCCTCAAAGTGTGATGGTACCTGTGCACAGGACGCTGGCATCCTCTCCATGATCGCAGTTGCTGTCACCCCAAGGTCTGGCCGGGCATTCAGAAAGAGCAGCTTCAGACCCTTTGCACTGCACATTGTCCAGCCAAATGGGGCCTGATCCCCGGCCAAAGTGAGCCATGCCGTAGGCTGAGACTGCCATCCCGCAGCCCAGCTGTCGGCACACCACAGCAGCATCAGGGAAGTTCCAGTCGTCGTCACACACGGTGCCCCATTGGTGGTTGTACATCACCTCTACCCTTCCAGAGCAGTGGTTTGGGCCATTCGCCAGGCGCAGCTGTGCAGAACCAGCGTGGGTGGCCGTAGGGTGAATGGATGAGTCTACAGAGAGCACAAGAGGGACATCATGAAAACCTCCTTGCTCCTTCATTTCTATAGGGCCATTCTGCACGCCACTAAGCTTTTTTGGCTAACGCTCAGTTGCTACCAACGTGCAGCCACCTCAAGACTGGGATGGGGGTGATGCTACGTGGTCCCAGCAATGTGTGGTCTTTCCAGCTGTGACTAGAGGTCCTGAGGACGCTGGAACAGGAGGAGGAGGAAAGATTTTTTTTCCTGGTGTGGATGGGGCACCATGTCCTCTTTGCAGGTGGCGGTGACAAGCAAGACGGCTCAGCATACCCACATGATGATATCTGTTGGGACAATTCTGGCTCTTGTGGCTCCAGCATCTACCAACTGCGATGAGCACTTCCATCAGCCACCAAAGCTCCAAGCTTTTGGAGCTCCAAGCTTTTGGAGCGGGTGTGTGGGATGTGCAAGGGGTCCCTACAACTCTCCCAGAGGTGGTTCTGCATCTCAGGAAGGTGGAGGTAGCACAGATAACTTTTCCAAGCCTGCTTACTCAGTACCCTGCAGTCTCTTGTAGAGGACAAACCACAAAACCATCCCTTGCTGAGGCCCTGGGTCAACAGTGACCATGGGAGGGTCACAGGGAGCTTTTGGAAAGCTAAGGGAGAGAATTGCTTTGTGGACCATGCATCATCATTCCCTGCCCCATCAGGGGCATTACCTGAGCATTCAACGCCAGCGTCTTCCCCATGGTTGCAGTTGTTCTTTCCCCAGCTCAACGACTTGCAGTATGACAGGGCGGCCTCCGTCCCCCTGCAGTTGACGTCATCCAGCCAGATTGGACCGGATCCGGGCCCGAAATGCCCAGTCAAGGGGGCTGATAGCGCCTCACCGCAGCCCAGCTGCCGGCACACCACTGCCGCGTCCAGCAGGTCCCAGTGGTCGTCGCACACTGTTCCCCATCGGTTCCCGTAGAAGATCTCGACCCGGCCAGCACAGTGGTGTGGGCCATTTACCAGACGGAGGGGAGCCCGCTGGGAAGCAACTGGGTCTGCAAAAGGGATGAGGAAAGGGTCTGATGTGGAAGAACAGCGCCAGGAAAGGCTGCGTTGCTTCCATGAGCTTCATGGAGCCTCTGTAAGTGGCGGTGGCTTATGGGAACATTCTCCTTTGGAAAAAAAACCCCACAGTAATCCAAATCCAGGACAAAAATAACCAGGAGAGAGAAATAAAACACCACAATAAAACAGATTCACGGTAACGGAGCTGGGGAGGGGTCTGGAGCACAAGAATGATGGGGAGCTGCTGAGGGAACTGGAGGGGTTCAGCTTGGAGAAAGGGAGGCTGAGGGGAAACCTTATCCCCTTACAGCTCCCTGAAAGGAGGGGATAGCGAGAGGGGTAAAATGTATACTTTACTTGTAAAGTAGTAAGCAATGAGATGAAAGGAAATGGCCTCAAGTTGTGCCAGGGGAGGGTTAGATTGGATATGGGGAAAAATTTCTTCCCCAAAAGGGTCATCAGGCACTGGGAAGGGCTGCCCAGGGCAGTCACCATCCCTGGAGGGATTTAAATGGGGAGATGAGGTGCTTGGAGACATGGTTTAGTGGTGGACAGAATATGGTTGGACTCGATGATCCTAAAGTTGTATTCCAACCTAAATGATTCTATGAGAATGCTCTGAAAACCCCTTTTTTGAAAGGAAATTATCTTTGAACGGGTTTCAGGTATTTTTTTTGTTGTTTAGTATTTCCAGTCAAAGAAAAGGAAAAAACTACCTGCTGGATTGGAAACTCCATGTATGGAAAGGGGGACGGGGAGAGGTCTGCCTGTGTGCAACCTGGTGCTTTAATTAGCAATTTGCACCATGTGGTACGGAGCCCATGCAGCAAACTGGCCCGTGGCCCCCGGACGAGTGTAGCTGTGTCTTGGAGGAGGGCATTGCATCAGCTGAAACTACAGCAAAATATGGCAAATATGAGGGGTTTTTTTTAATCTCTGTGGTAGTAAGTACTGGGGTGGGATGCCCATGTTAGGTCTGGGTAGAGGCTGTAGCATCCCCTGGAGAAGGGGATGCAAAATTCAGCTGGCAGAGGCAGGAAAAAAAAGCTAAGAAAAGCACCTTGGCATCCCACTCGCAGCACAGTCGGTCACCTCCTGGAAAGCTTTTGTATCTGCAGAGCGCAGAGCAGAATAAATGCTTCTGTTTGTGCTGGGGGGGACAGGGGGAGAGGACTTTGTGCCCTTTGTAAATGAACCGGCCAGCCCTGAAGAGGTGGCCAACACAAATAAGCAATTTCTGGTCTTGACTGTCAGCGGTCGATTTGGCTCCAAGCATTTCCCAACCGTTCTGCACCAGGCCAGGGTAATTAGCAGGCTAACGAGATTTCCTTCCCCACCTGCAACTTTCTCTTCCTTTTCAAGGCTGGTGGGTCAGAGGAGACTTTGCCCTGTCCATCTGCAAGCCCAGCCGCCCCCATTCCTGCAGATCTCGACCCTGTCTTTCTCCTCGGATGCTCCTTCCCCATGCGAGACTCACTCACCGCAGAGGCACACCAGACAGACGAGGGACAGGAGGACACATCCTGAAAACCCCATTGCTCTTCGTCTACGCCTTAGGGGGAGGTGACTGTCAAGTGCAAGTCGCGAGCTGAGCTGAGTGCTGTGGGTTTGTCCCTTCCTCTGTGCCCTGCGTTTGTCCGGCCTTCATCCCTCCTCCTGCACTGACCCCTCCTCCTCGCTGTCCCCACAATTTTGCCCAATGGTTTTAAAGTGATTTAAGTGGTTTCCCCAGCACCAGAGCCATGTCTGATAGGAGGCTCCAGCAGCAGGAGGGTTCGCAATCCTCACTTACGGAGCTTTGCACCTTCAGGAAAAGCCAAGTTTCATCTTGTAAGTACCCAAAGGTGACCCCTTGCTATACAGAGATACCCCAAGGGTGCTTGCAGAGGGCAAGAAGCCTCCTTTCCTCTGTCAAAATAAGAAGTTTTGAGGAGTTTGTGTCCATTGAATAAGACAGTCTGGCTGGAATCTGTCTCAAAGTCATGTCGCTGAAGCCATTGCAGATATAAAATGCACAGGCCAAATTCTGGGGGTAACCCATAACATAAAGAATAAGAGGAGGGTGGTCCAGAAACTATGCTGTAGCTGCTGAGTTGAAGCCACAAACACGGTCAGGTTTCAGGTACCTCCACTGCATCGATTCTTTGTCCTGAGTCTAAGAGAATTTGGGGAATTTTAGAGACCGATCTCTGAGGCAGGGGATGCTGCACAAACAATCCCCTGGCAGTTCATGCTGACCTTCCTCATGCTCATGCTATAATTTGGGTTTCAGTGAATGCTCTTGTCACCTGCACACAGTGGGATGGGGTGCAATGGGGATGCTCTGTGGGGTTTTTGCATCCAAAGGCTGCAGTTGGAGACATGGCTATGGGGCATGGATCCTGCTTGGTCCCTGGGGCTGGTGCAAGGAAAACACATTTCTGAGACAACCCCTATAGGGCACACCACCCTTCTTGTTGACTGTGAGATTGGAAATGTCCCATTTGGCCCATGCTGGGATACTGGCTCCTCAGTGCCATAGAGGCCCATGGCTGTGTGAGGGAAGTTGAGACAAATATAAAGAGTTCAAGCCTTTCACATAGAATCACAGAATCATTAAGGTTGGAAGAGACCTCCAAGATCATCAAGTCCAACCGTCAACTCAATGCCACCATGCCCACTAAACCATGTCCTGAACACCATGAGCTTCTTGAACCCCTCCACGGATGGTGACTCCACCACCTCCCTGGGCAGCCCCTTCCAGTGCTTCACCACTCTTTCAGTGAAGAAATTCCTCCCAATATCCATCCTAAAGCTCCCCTGGCACAACTTGAGGCCATTTCCTCTTGTCCTGTCACTGGTTACATGGAAGAAGAGATCAACACCCACCTCTCTACACCCTCCTTTCAGGTACTCGTAGAGAGCGATAAGGTCTCCCCTCAGTCTCCTTTTCTCTAAACAACCCCATCTCCCTCAGTCGCTCCCCATAACTCTTCACAACCAGCTTCGTTGCCTTTCTTTGGACACACTCCAGCCCCTCAATGTCCCTTTTGTAGGGAGGGGCCCAAAACTGATCTCCCCCATCTTATCGACCCTAACTGCTCATGCCAAGAAGAGGAGCCCCAACAGCTTCCCTGCCCACCTCCAGCTCCTCATAGTCTGAACATCACCTTAGGGGCTGCAGGGAAGTTTGTTACCCCCCAGTACTTAAGGTGCAGTCCTTGGCATGAGGCGACATGGAGGCACGATGTCTTTCCCCTGTGATGTGCTTGCACAGCTATTAATACCCTTCAACCTGGGAACATGAGCTGAGATGGTTCAGCATCACCTTGCGATGCCACATAAGCATGATGCAGTAACTGTGAAGCCAGAAAAAACCAGAGTGAGATTTCATCCCATTGGGCTTGCGTATGAAGGGCTGGGCTGTGAAGTCTTGCAAAGTGTGAAATGCAGGATGGAAAACTGAAAAACACTGGTGTCCAGGGTAAACAAATAATTTTTGGCTAGTAAGGCAGTACATGGAGGGGAAAAACAACCCAAAACCTAGCTCCAATTTCAGCATTGCTATCCCGTCCCAGCAGCTGCATTTTGAAACCCAACCCTCACTGCATTTGTTGAGTGCAAGTGAAAAGGGGTTTGTGCGTTCATGCTGTCAGTGCTGGGAAGGTGCACAAGCTTTGCAGGCATCACAGCTTGGAGAAACCTGGACTGCAACCCCTGCTGGCATCCCTCACAGACCCGATTTTAAGTGTTCTTTGAAGCAGAGACACAAAAGCAAGTTCAGAGCTGGGGAATGCCCATTTTGACCCAAGTATTTGACCAAGAAATCATTGTATGACTTAACTCCTAAGTATGAGCTAAAGATAAGTTATGCAATATTTCCTGCTGGATATGAGATCCAATCTGTACCATAAGTTGCCAACACACAAACCAGGCCACCTGCGATGGCCTCCAGCTTCCCGGTATCTAGATTTTCTTGTGTTAAGTAAGTTTCCTTTAGCATCTGTTTTTAGACTCATTATTCATGCTCTTGCCTAACTTCTCTTTGAATTAGCTGACAGCATCCACCCTCACAACCCTCCTTGGGCTAGCAGCTTCCAGAAGCTCCCAGACCTTTATGCAGTCTCTGGACCTGCTCCACTTGCAGTTCACCCTTCTGGAGATGTGGAGAGCAGCACTACACACACTACAAAAGGCACAGAAGAACCAGGGTTGTATATGCCAAAAAAATTATACCCCCTGTCTTGTTCTCAATGCTCTTCTTGGGGTATGCAATGCTTTGTAGGGTTTTTTTTGGTGCTGCAGCACAAGGAGATTATGATTTCTGAGAACTTGTTTGCAGCTGGGTACTGGAAAAGGAAAACATTCAAGGCCAGACATGGTGCACCACAAATTTTGTTGCATTGCATTGCATGGGTGTGTAGCTAGATGGCAGGAAAGCACCTCATTATTCGAGGGTGAGCAGTTGGAAACACTGACCGGTGGCTGCCTTGCAGTCTCCAAACTTTCTTGCACCTTCCAGGGAGAGCAAAGACATCACGCATGTGCCTGAGTGTCACGAATTGCAAGGCAGGGATGCAAGATGGGAGAAACCATTGGGATCTTCTCATGCAGCTTGTTTTTCTCTGCTGACTGCTCCCAGGGACTGTCATGGCCACCCAGCACAGATCTCTGCACTGCAGCATGCAGGGTCTTGGCAAATGACTGACATCTGCAGGTGCCAGCATCTCCATGGCTCAGGCCACCACTGCTGGTGCAACATGGACTCATCTGGTGCTACCCATTAGCATCTTGGCATCTTCCACTGGTCCTGAAGCATCTGAAACCTCTCATCCTCCCCTTCAACAATGAGTTAATCTGTTGCAAACTGTTTAGATAAAGTAGAGGGAGTAGAGCAGGACCATACGAAGCAAATCGCTGCCTACCCAGACACTGACTCCCTCCACCCTTCATCTGCCCATCCCTTGGTGTCCTCCAGACTCAACCTGCCCCAGAGGCCTCGTGAAGGAGC